AAAAAATGATTTGGAATGGATTGAAAGCACTTTGTAAATAAACACTCGAAAGTTTAATCAGAACAATGAAGAAAACATATTGCAGAGAACAAGAGGAAACAATTGTGAGCAACAGGGTAAAAGGAAAAACAAAACAAAACAAAACAAAAAAACCACAGTCCTGAAGAGTCCATACTAATGCTATTAGAATACCTCCTTCCCACTCTAAACAGCACCTAACGCCCATACTCTTTCTGAATACCATCAGCTTGACCTTAAAAAGGAAGAAGGAGAACATTGAGGATCTGCAGACTCACCTTGAAGTTCTCAGGATCCACATGCAGCTTGTCACAGTGCAGCTCACTGAGCTTAGCAAAGGCACCCTTGAGGTTGTCCAGATTCTTCAGGCCATTAATAAGGGAGTTCACTACCTTCTTGCCATGGGCCTTCACCTTGCGGTTGCTCATAATAGCATCAGGAGAGGACAGGTCCCCAAAGGAGTCAAAGAACCTCTGAGTCCAGGGGTAGACGACCAGCAGCCTGAGGGGTGACAATAGCACAGAGGGCAGAGGAGTCAGAGCCTGTCAAAAACCCAGGGGACTGAGCCATTTCCACCAGCCCAGCTTCAATTCATCAGCCTGCTTTGCTACCTGGAGACCAACCTGCCCAGGGCCTCACCACCAACAACATCCACCTTCACCTTGCCCTGAAGGCTGAAAACAGCAGCCTTCTCCTCAGCAGTCAGATGCACCATGGTGTCTGTTTGTGATTACTAGGGAACATGGCTGTGTCAAAAACAAGTGGAAGCAGCAGCTGGCCCTGCTCTTCCTTTTGTGCCCAGCCCTGATCTTGTCCTCCCTGTGGCTGTGAGATTGGCCCAAGTCTGGGTGTGGTTCTGCGACTGCCATTCCTCTTCTTGGTAATTCTGACACCGGCTTATGAGTCTGAATTCAGACCTGCTGTCATCTCTCTAGGTCCCTAAGTCCCATCAGCAATACAAATTGCTAAAAAAAAAAAAAATCATTCTCCTTGGCAACAATATTCTTACAATTTTGAAAATCACAACCTAGTAATCTAACAGAGGGTGTCTCTTCAATTTTCTCATGAACAGCAAAGAGACATTTTTCTCAAGTTTAATTTGAAACTGTACATCCTAGAATCAGAGTCTTGGCTTCAGTCTGGGAGCCTTT